TATAAAAACAATGTTATAAACTTTGAAATATTAATTGAATAGGTAATTATTGTTGTGGCTTCCTAAGTTAAACAATTATAAACATTAAACGAAATCTTCCAAATTAGTTTAATTATAATTTATTACATTTAACATAAAAGATTAAAACTTTTAAGGCTTATACATTTTAATTCATGATTTAAATTATAAATATAATTCATGTATTTATTGTAAATGCGTTATTAAGTAACATGAAAATTCATAATAAAAATAAAGTATTTATAAACGCATTTTTAACAGTTATCTTATTATATATTTACATTGTTATATAAACTTATGTTTAATACCATAAGTCATGATTAAAACGATACACACTCCTAAAAGTACTTTGTAGTATCAATATTAGTTACACCAGATTAAACATTATGTGAAAATCACACAGAGCTTTTTGATTCTGTTATTCGTGTGTTGTCCAACGATGTGCAAAAAAAGTAGTTAGATAAACATTTACCTTGCGCAATTTACTTTATTATGTTGTTTACAGAATGGTGAATTCAAGAGATATTCGATTTTGTGAAGTGGCCAATGAGAAAACAGGTTGATATATAAAGCAGTAAGAAATTATGTTTATAACAAACATTTCAGTAAGAAGGTAATTAATAGTAATTGTCTACTTAGGTTTCGAAAGAAATTACTAAATTCTTAAATTTCCGATAATTATTGAATGAAAAATAAATATACTCTAAGTCGATATTTTCTTAAATGCTTAAGATATCAAATACTATCTATTTTGCTAATACGTTATAATATACCCATAATAAGTTAATCACAATTTACTCCATAAATTAAAATTAAAATATTTCGTTAATCAATTAAAAATATAACAGTCAACATTTTTTTTTTTTTAATTGTAATTAATTTTATAAATACCTAATAACCATCAATTTACTAAGGTTTTACAGAAATTTAAAAATTATGGAGAAATAAATCCTATTCTTAAATAAATACCAACTATCATTTTTGCATCAATATTTAATTTATTATTTAAAAAAGGTACTACGCAATAATTGTACTTACTAATGTACTATTATAGTGTTATTATAATATGTTTTAAAGGTCCAAAATGAATAAATCGTTTATATAAGAAAATTATAAATATCATTATTTACTGCAATGATAAAAAAATATACTAAGTTATGATATTTAGATTTAATCCTTTAGATATATAAAAAATACAATTCATAAATTTAAAAAGAAAAAGCATTGTGAACACTATCAATCAAAAGTAATTATACCGTATGTCTAAGATTCTTCAAGAAAACTAGTGGTAGGTATGGATTTATATAACAATTTTAATTCACAATTTTCAATATTGTTTTTAGAAATACTTAAATAATAATAATATATATTTTTTACAACAACATTTTTCCGGTAGGCCGATTCCATTTGTTTTCTCTAAATAATTATATTATTTTATATTAAAAAGTGTAAATTTTGAATGTATAATAACAGCTTATATTAAATTATAAAATATTTTTTTTTGGTACATTTTATTATACTTGATTACTTTATAATTATTTATTAATATTTTGGTTTACAAATATATGATATATTTAAATAAAATAAAACATCAATCACCAATTGTTTTTAAACATAAACTCATATGACATAATGTTATTGATATAAAAAAAGAATACTTAAAGATAATATTTACTTATTACAGAATATCATTTAAAGTTGCAGTGCTACAAAGCTTGCTTTAATAAGTTATTTGTTGTTACTGATAATAATTGCTTGATGAAACATCATTCTATATCAATTATTTTACAACAAAATAATTATACTTATGACATTATTAAAAGACTTGTCTACTACATAATTGTATGTAAATGATGGACAATGGTTCAAAGAAACTTGCTGATTGCAATGATTAACTATTTAATTGTATTATATAAATATGTTTGTGAAATGTGCCAGCATAATTATCAGAGAGATGTAGTTTTATACAATTTGACAAATTATATTTTACGATATGACGTTTATACTTAATTATATTCTACTTTTTCTCGTTAAAAGTGAATAGGTATTCCACCACTTTCTCCCACCCACTCACCCAGTAATATATTTTTTAAGTGTATTTAATTGTTTATAAATATCCTCATATATTTTAAATATTAATAATTTCAGCTTTGTTTCTTTTAATTTATTTATTTTCAAATTTAAACTGATCAAAGTCCGATATTATTGATTTTGAGGGTTTATTATTAAGCATTATATATTTCAAGAAAAATTTTAATTACAACTATTATTTTTTGATAAACTACTTTATATTCTATTATTCATAACAAGTGCATTCAATTTATAATACACAACAAAAAAGTATGGTAAATAAAAGGTTTTCTTATTTAAATTAATGTTTCTATTGTTATTTAACTAATCAATAATTATGGATTAAAATAGTTTTTTTTTCTTTTGGTAATTAATAATTGGAAAAGTTCTGAATTACTATCATCTTAATAAACTTAAACGAGAAATAAATTAAAAACAATTATCATCTATTAAGTTTTAATACTACATAAGAACCCACAAAAACAATATAGTTTTTATATAGCGTAAACTTTAACATTATATATATATATATATATGATTTAAATTATTATTTATTACCTGATTATTTTAAGAAGTAAAACATTTATGTTGACTTATTTAAAATCCAATCATCATTTTATGAATTAGTATTATCATTAATTATAATTTATTTTTTTATGAAAATATACATATATGATTATATTGTAAACTGGATTATCAGAAGCCATTTGGATAAACAAATACATTTTATTTCTCTACGCCATAACTATAACAAGAACTTATATTCACACAATAGATATTTTATACCACTTTTGATACTAAATAGATAGGTGAATGATAATATTCTAACGTAAAAATGGAATTTATATCGATGAATTGTTACAGTTTATATTTTATTGTAAAGTTGACGTCAATTGATATGCAATATACTTTAAAGGCATATATAGTTTGTTTCTATTAAAAATATATGAAATTGTGTGTAATTTTATTATAAATACAAAAAAAAATCATTCCTCATGTGAATAAAAACAGTCCAAACCGGAAATCAAATAAATACAAGTAATTTGAATATGCTATTATCTCAATTTTATTGTTTTTATTAAAAAAATACAATGAACTTATACTTTATATCAATAAATGATAATACAATGTTTCTGTTTTTATAACAAACAGCTTGGGATTTGTTCGGTGACTATAAACATAATCATATTATCAGAGAACAAGAAGTGTATATTATTATCGTACCTAAATATACCTGTCTATTTAAAACCCGACCAGTTATCAATACCTACTATTTATTAGGGTGTAGCTATTGTATGGTTTAATGGTTATTATTCAAAATTATTGTTGTTCCGGGAAGCTACTGATTTATTATCTGAATTCCGGTAGTTTCCGATTACACTATGAGCTTGTGGAGATTATTCCTACAATTTAATTTTATGGTTTAAAGCCAAAATTAAGAATCAAATAAAAAAATTAATATATTTTTTTTCATTAGATTGTACATTTTAGTCTCGTTGAAGCTTTTTTATTATTATTTTTTTTTTATTTCAAAAATAGATACATTTTGCAGCAAAAAATATTATTTTATTTATTGATCCAACTGCCAAAAAAAAAAAAAAAAAATGATTTGTTTAAGTTTCAAAAAATTAAGTATTCTTGGTTAAATCTATCTATTACTGTAAAACCGTGTGTACCAAGAATACTCGAATTTAGTAATAATTCTTAGTTCTTCACTCAAACAATACAATTAAAATACTAAGGAAAAAAATATTAATAATATCCGCTTATAAATTTATGGGATATTCAATATGTGTTATTTTTAAAAAACAATAAAAGTAAAATGTTTTTCATGTTACTATTTTTTTTTTCTTTTATTCTAAATTTTATTATATATATACAATTTCTGTAGAATGGGAATTGTTTTAAAGTTAAATACTTTCTAATACTATTTTTTTCAAAAAGTATTAATTCTTTTTTAAATATTTTTTGTTGAATTTCAATACTTAGGTTCGTAAAAATTGAATTTTGAAATAACTAGTTTCTTAAATTTGATTATTTAACTCGATATACCATTTACCAAATATACTTTTAGAGTTATTTTTTATTAGTTGCTTACATTAAATAATCAACATAATAATTACCAAAGTTCTTTAAGTTCAGAATGAAAATACTTATAATATTTTCCATGTAAATATTTAACATTATACGATTTTTATCATACAAATTAATATATTTTTTTTCTTTTTTGATATCTTATTACTTTTAGGGATTTAAATGTTAAATTAAAAAAAATATCTATTAGTACATAATATTATACTAAATGTAAAACATTTTTAACTAATTTACTAATTAATACTGTATTACTTTTTGTAAGCTTACCATACTCTAAATATATTTATTTTTTCTTGTAATCTGGACTGTGAGTGTACCTTGTCATTGATTTCTGTAATAGATGTTAGAACTATATTTTGTAACTATTATCTAATATAAAAAACAATATCATATTTTTTCCCAATTAGATAATAAGAAAAATTAAAATATACATTTAGAGTATGGTAAGTTTAAATACGATATTGTATTTTTTATGAGATAATAGTTATAAAATTTAGTTCTAACGTCTATTACAGAAATCAATGACGAAGTAAACTCAAAATCTACTATACAGCGGTAGAATAGTTACCTACTTACCTACTTTTTGAATTTTATTTTATGCTAATTTTTCGAGTACTGTATTATTATAGATACAATTTCAAAATAAATATGAAAAACTATGGCTTAACTTCCAAATGTATGAAAGGAAAGATTACCCTTAAATACTACACTAGATCTATATAATTTGTCGTGTTCTTGATAGGCATATATTTTGATAGAAAAAAACTTTAATTATACATTTATGGTTTATAAAAATCAAAACGTGCATATGCGCTTACCATGTTTATACTGATTGTTGCGTTGTATGACCGATTCAGCGGTCTTCCGGGCGATAAAAAACCATTCACTGGCGTTAGTCAAGTACTTGTATTCAACGGCCAAGTCCTTAGCCAATATACCCTCGCCCTTAGGCAGCCGGTACGCATATGGACAAAATAACTGATAATGCTTGTACTGGTGCTGATCATAACAGTTACCCGCCGCAAATATGTCATCATCAAACTCTACCATGGAAATCACGCCGGCATGCAGCAGATATTCTGAGTCCATGACTTCGGGACCAGCGTACTTCCAAAGTCTTGTCAACATATTGGCTCTATTAACCGCAACGTCGGCTTCCACACGGAACCGTTCCTAAATTATGCAATCTTTATTAAGTAGGTATTTATCATTATGATTGTTGATTAAATGGTAGGTACACGTAATTAATATATACTCTTATATTTATTTGGTTTTATAAGAGAAATCATGGCCATTTAGCGTTAATGTATTTTGCATGATAATTGTTTTACATTTTTAGATGATTTTTTTTTTATTATTAAAAGTGAAACACATATTCAATATCAATATTATTATTTGTTTAGTTTTATTTTATTAAATTATTTTTCACGTATACATAACTATGAGTATACATTACAATTGATACAGTTGGAAAAGTCTATATACGTTTTTGTTTTATTGAACATCAAGTAACTTTTATTTGTGACTAATACAATAAATAAATAACATTGTTTAATAAACATGTACGTGACTTTTGTTAGCTGTTTAATTAACTATTTCAATTCAGTTCTAGACTGCAACACTATAAAAAATACATATAATCCTCCATAATGACCCCAATCATTCTATACAATAAACGAAAAATAGATATATTATATTATACACACACACACCTAACCAGACCCTAACCAACTATATGGAATTTTCTCGAATACTTATATTGTTTAAACGATCTTATTTGTCCCACGTTCAACGTTTAAGTCGTAGTTCTAGGTTTATCTTTACTGCATAAATCATCCCCAACATTTCATATGTGAGACGAATAATATTTTATGTTATCTTTACGGAGAAAATAACGCGGTTTCCTTTTTCGGGATTGGACAATAACTTCAGCAAACTTTCTTTAGAATGACAATTTCCTCATCTATAGATCCCTCGAAGTGTCATTGACCTAAATATGTTTTATTTTACATTCAATTTGAATGACGTATACTCGTGTACGGGTTTTTTTTATTTTGTAATATAATTATTATAAAATATAATATTTTTTGTAGACCCGTAAGTAAACCATTATGGTTTTTTATACATTTACGAGTATATTTAATATATATATATACATAATATATACACATACGTGTATATGTAAAAACCATATTTATACGAGTATTATAATATTATAAAAGTATAAAATAATAATATTAATATAAATTTTAATGTTTAAATTTTATAATGCGTAGCGTCAACAGCTAATTAAACATTGAAAAAATAATTTCATTATTCTATAATATTACATATTTTAATATATACAATCTACATAAATATTATAAATCGAGTAATAATAATAAACAATTCTCATTAATATTTCAGTTCTAATAGGAAATTTAATCTTCAGGATTAATTATTGAATATTGGTGTTAAAATATTACACCAACACTGTATGAAAATAATGTCAATAAGGATAAATCCACATCATAGAATATTAAACTACCTAATATTTATTTCTATTTAAGAAGCCTATAATGAAGGATACTACATGCAATTATTTTTGAATAGTACGATATTTGAGGTGTAAAATTTATAAATATTATTAAATTAAAATTACAATAATAATCATGTTTTTTTCTTATTATAAAATATAAATTGTGCTGAATCTATTATACAATTATATTCTTAATAATTAGTTAATTTTTCTATGCTTTAATATTTAAATGTTTATATTTTTGTGCACCAAATTTAAGCTATGGTATTTAAACTAGGATCATTGACTGCAACTAATTATTTGAAGATTATTTCATTGACAAAAAGACGAACCATTGTTTTAAGGTATTTAATCAATATTGAATAGCATGACCATTTAATAAACAGAAACAGCGTTTAGAATAGGTAATAATTTTATGAATGTTCGTTATAATACGCAATATCCGTTGTCTAACTATTATACACATCCCAATGATTTAGTTTTATATATCTAGATTATATACCAAATATGAATATGAGTCACCCATTTAATTAGATATTATTATAAATGTATTAAACTGCTACTTTAATTCGATTGAAATGTATTTATTTTTTTATTTTGTTATTGTTATTTGATTATTAAAAAAAAAAATACTCTCAATTACTAATTTTTATCTAAGTATTTACTAAGTTCAACTTTTTACAGGAAACCATTAAGGTTTGAACCATTAAAAAGTGATAGCAGAAACAAAAAAAAAATCACATATTATTGTAAAATCTGACAAGTTTTATTACCAGAATACACTTACTACACTAAGAATAAATATCCTATGAAAACAAGACAAGTTATATACTCAAAGTATCATTCTCTTAAAATATGATTTCGTTTAAAATTAATATGATTCAATAATACCTAGGAAATTACTTATAATATATATTTTGTATATTTATTTAAATAATAAACATATTTTTTATATATTAATTAGTTATTACCTGTATTATAATAATTTATTTTTTTATTAGTTTGTTGGCAGTATTTTTAAATTTCTCTATTTCATACTTAAAGTAATTGTAATTATTCTATATTAAAATACAACGTCAATTTTTTTTATTTAATATTTAAACTTCTAACAAATAGAGTAATGTATTTTTGTTGAGTAATACAATTTTTGGTTTAAAATATTTATGACTATTTTACTGAGAATAAATTCTTTAAAATAACACCTAGTAAATTTAAATATAAATTAATTTAAAGATTCATCTTCCAAAATAATTGAAATGTCAAACTTATTCTGGTATCAATTCATGCGTACAATGTGTACATAATAATTAATATAGATAACGAAATTGCATTTTTTAAATATACCAGCGATGAATGATTCATTTAAGTGTATTTACAGCGTACATTTATCTTGCCTTAAGATTTAATGGACATTCGATTGAAAACTTATTAATAAATTGTATTCGTATAAATATTTAGTGAAACGAAATGATTAATAACAGTAATTTCAGATGGTATTGTTGTGAAAACAGTTAACGGTTGATGCTGTATCATACAAACGCTGATGTACCTATCTGCTGTTCATTATTCATACAAATTCGTAGACATTTTTTAATAATAAAAAACACACGCATATACACTCATATATATATAGCTTATGTATTTCAACATAATATATTATTGCAATAAACTGGTTTTATAATTGTTAAAATTGTGATTGTACCTATATTTTACTAGTATAAATTACACCTCATCGACTATCAAATATTTACAAATATTCTAAATCATTTCTTATGATTCAAAAATACTCAGAGTTATCCGCACTGTTATTAGTAATAACCGCAATATATGTTGTAATTAATTCAGTTTTAGCACGTACCTTACATATAAGCGATTAAAAGAAATAAAAAAAAGCGATAGGCTAATATACGAGGGTAGGTACATATTTTATACTATTATATCGTTCATAAAATGCGATGGCTTTAATGAATTATTGTATTAATTTATTTAACATAAACAATGAAATGGTTTATTTAGGGTTAATAGTTTAAGTATTTCACCCACGCATACACACTCATTCGAACATATATTGATAGACTGTACCATTATATATTTATGACTTCGTTTTGGAACATTAAAAAAAAAAAAAAAAACAACAAATAATTAACAGAGTCCATTTCATAATATTTAAAGAAACAGTTTATAATCAAATAGTCGAACTTAATTGTCAAAGTAAAATATAAATCATACTAATACGTTTTTATTTTATTTTTTAAAATCATTTTAAAAACGAATCAACTTTTATTGTTTACTTTTTTTATTTTTAACATTATATTATTTAACTTTAACATACAATTCAAATAAGTCAGTATACAATAAACTAACTACATTATTGTATTTTTAATCAGTATACAAATTAAGAAATTGTAGATGGAATCTATCTTGCATTTTTATAATTATTATTGTTTCATTGATATTTATGATAATAGTATAATATATAGCATTATAAAAGTAACATAGGTACAGAATATAGATAATTATCCGTTCTTATGTTTTTGAAATTAATTTAACTTTAATTACTTCGTCAGTGTGACAGAAATTAACTTTCATTATTTATAAAATAACATTTTAAATTATGATTTATAAGCTGATGTATATTTATCCTTTTATAAAAAATAATTATTCTGTTATTAATTCTCGTAAAAACTATTTTTGGTCTTCAGTTAATTTATTCAATCTTATAATAAATATCTATAAACTATTGTAACCTTTTAACTGTACACTTTATAATATATAATTTGATTAAATTCAATAATACAATAATATGAAATATAGAATATAAAAACGTTATATTAATTTTGTGATAACAATTTTTAATATTGAAGATGCATCATTCATAAATAACTCCGTGTTCATACTATGAAAAAGTTATTATACACTATGTTAAAATACAATTATTGTATTTTGTATGCCGTACTTTCTTGTACACCTCAGCTGTATTGAATTGTCCTAAATTCTAAACTAACAATATTCAGTTAGTGAGGTCTCCTTATCTGTGTGGCTATATAGAATTATCTAAATAAAAATAGTTTTATTAAATATATAATATGAACTGTTTATTTAAATTAAATTAACCAGATATAGTGTGCTGCATCGGTGTCTGTTTGGTAGTACCATGAGAGTAACAAATATATTTGTGTTCCGATAAATATAAATTTATCAGGTGGAACAATGAACTTTGAGATAAACTGTTTTTAGAACTGTGTACCCTAAAATATCCATTGTTGAGAGAAAATTATCAATCAATAAACAATGATTTCAAAGTAATTCGAAGTGAGATTTATAAATAATCATAGCGAATTCACAATATCGTTGGTTAATAAACTTAAAATTATTAAAATAATATCTTGATACTTCAAGTTTTTAAAATAAAATTTACAATATGAGGAAAAACAGAAAGCTAAATCATATTTATTTAGTTAAAATAATGTAAATTTAAATATAATTTAATTACTTTCAAATACATATATTTTATGCAAACAACTATCCAAAAGTTAAACTTTAATTTAGAAAAATAACATTGTAATAATTGATACAGATATGTTTTATTTATTTTTTATTTTATTACTTTTGTTATTTGTATTATTAAAAACGTCCATACACCTGTAATTAGTTT